TGGGACTCGTGGCTGCTCGGCGAGGGGCTCGTGGGTGGTGACATCGTGAAGATAAAGCGTGGATACGATCTCCCGTTTTTATTAAAAAGCGTTCGTTCGTTCTGTGTGCGGACCACCGTATTGTCTGGCGACGTCGTCCGTGCGGGAACACAGGGCGGCGTTCATACGACACAACCTCCCGGGCTGTTTAAGCGTCGCGGGGTACCAAGGCGAAGTGTAGTCTTGAGTTTCCCGTATTGTTCACCAGCAGTCTGTCTATGGAGGACTTCCTTCTTCCGGCGAACGGTCGGATTGCCGGTCTCGACCTGGTGTGAGGTCCTCGTGGTATCCGTGGTTTCTTCTCGTACGGGTTCGCACGTCGTAGAGAGTCCGCGCCTGGGGGCTTATGTTGGACATGGTCGGCCTCAATCTCACGGATGGTCAGGGCCCGTAGATCCACGGGCAAGCGGGTGATCTTCATGACTTCGGATAGGGGAGCCTCGTAGGTTAGGTGGGTGTGCCACACCGATTGCGAGACGACCTTGTTGTCTTTGATCGCCGTGACGCGACAGGGTTCTGACCAGGTGGGCAGAAGTTTTGCGGCTCCAAACCGTCGCTGAAGATCATGGAGGAGTTTGCCCCGTAGTAGGATTACAACCGTGTCTCCTACATCGACGTCTTTCTTGACTGGGGGACGACCCTTGCTGACTGACGCTAGGGTGTGGTTGAGTGCATCCTGCCGAAACGTGTTGAGGAGTTTCAGGCGAGGGATGACATCGGTGATAAGGTTCTCGAATTTGTGCCACTCTTGAAAGTGTGGTAGGACCAGGTCGGCCCCGGTGATGATACGGTAGGGAGATTCACCGGTAGTCGGATGTGGCGTAGAGCGATAGGCCAGCATGGAAGATGCGACGATCTCATTGAAACTCCAATCTGTGGTTGATGTGAATGCGCTTACAGAACGATTCAGGTACTGGTGGAAGGCCTCGACGACCCCGTTCCCACGCGGGTAGTAGGTTGAGCAGAATAGACAGTTTATTCCGAGGCCCAGGCAACGCTCGCGGAACTCCTCTGCACGGAACGCGTTGTCGCTCAATAGGTTCCTGGGAGTGCCGAGGACCGAAACCCAGTTGCAGTAGAATGCCTCCCACAGGTCGACGGCTCGAATCGTCGAGAGTGGAACGGCAATGGCGAATTTGCTGAAGTGGTCGATACAGGTGAAGATGTAATGCTGCTTCTCTCGGAACCAGATAGGGCCCACAGTGTCGCACGCAACGACCTCGAACATCCCTGTTGACAGTAGGTTTCCTCGGACGAAGTCGATTGCAGTGTGACGTCTGCGGATACAGGTGAGACATTGCTTGGCGAACTGCCGAACGTCATTGAACATGTTTGGCCACCAGAAATACTTTGAAAGTCGGTGGTAGGAGCGTTGGATACCTTGATGAGCTCCGACGCGCGAGAAGTGGAAGTAGAATATGATTCGCCGTCGCAGCACCTCAGGAACGTAGACACGATTATTCACGACGGGCAAGCCATTTTGAAGTGTGTATGAGAAGATCGGCTCGGGTTCCCGTTCGAATGCAGCAGCTAGGTCCTCGGGTGTAGGGAAAGTTTCATTGAGAGTCAGCATGGACGGTTGCACGTCCGTGTGACACACCAAAGCCCATCTTGCGTCGATCTGCTCGTCCAGTGGGCTGAACTCGATATCTCGAGTGAAGATGTCTACGTGCTGTTGAGTCTTTCCGGCTCTGTAGATGATCTTGAATTGAAATTCTTGCAAGAACATGGCCCATCTAGCGATTCTCGACTTCTCCGTACTCCAAAGCCACTTGAGACTCTGGTGGTCCGTCCTGACGATGAACTCTCTGCCACGCAGGTAATGAGCGAAGTGGAAGATGGACCAGACAATGGCGTAGGCCTCGAGTTCGTAGATTGGCCATTTAGACTCAGCTGCGGTTAACTTCTTAGACGCGAATTGAAGGACATGCATCTTGTTATCAACGGTCTGCTGGAGGACACCAGCAATTGCGTAGGTGGATGCGTCCGTGTCCAGGCAGAACGGTAGACCAGGTCGTGGGAGGTGAAGGGATAGTTGAGCTTCGACGAGCGCGCGCCTCACAGCTTCGAAACCTTTCTGGCACTGATCGGACCAGTTGAACTCGTCGAGCGTAACAAGCTCCTGGATGGGTTTCACCAGGGTGGCGTAGTCCCGGATGAACTTGCGTAGATATCCGACCAGGCCTAAGAATCGTCTCACGCCGTTCACGTCTTCGGGAGGGGTGAGCTTCCGGATGGTCTCGATGGACTTCTTTGAAGGGTAGATCTTTCCTTTGCGAATGGTTACGCCGAGATAATCGAATTCGGAGAGTCCGAAGTGACTCTTCCGGATGTTGAGGTAGATCTGATGACGGAGCAGTTGTTGAAGAACCCACTCGAAGTTGTTCATCAGTACAGGCCATGAAGTGCCATAAATTATGATATCGTCAATGTAGACGAGACAGCCCTTTCCTAGGCGATCCTCGAGTAGCTTGGTCGTCATCCTTTGGAAGGTAGCGGGGGCATTGATCAACCCGAAAGGCATCACATTGAACTGATAGAGTCCCGTTGGTGTAGCAAAGGCAGTTTTGGCCTTATCCCCTTCCTTGATTCGGATCTGATGGAAACCAGCTTTCAGGTCGAGTGTCATGACGTGTTCGACCCCGCCTAAATGATCATGAAGGTCTTCGATCACCGGCAAGGGGAAGGTGTCTGGTACCGTGACCTCATTTAGAGCTCGGTAATCCACACACATGCGCCACTCCCCGGTTTTTTTAGGAACCATGACGATCTGTGAACGCCACGGACTGATGGACTCCTCGACTGCACCGACTGACAGTAAGTCCTGAACTTGTCTATTGATTTCTTCCTTCTGTTCTGGTGAGTACCTTCGCATGCCTTGCTTAACTGGTGGATGATCACCGGTGTCGATGGCATGTTCGAGCAACTGACACTGCCCCAGCTTCGTTAGTCGCCAAGTCTTGTCGTAGTGAAGCAACATATTTGCAATATCCTCCTTCTGGACCGCGGAAAGTTCGGGATTGATGCGTTCTCTGATCTGCTCAATCGTGAACGTTTCTTCTGCTTCCTGAAGAGCGTTGAGCCGGGAGCTACAATCCACGAAGTTCGGGTCTTGGATCAGGGGGAGTTCCCCAAACTGCGTGATTAGTTTATCATTCTTGAGATCGATAGAAGCATCCAGTTGTTGCAGAGCTGGAAGGCCGAGTAACGGCTGCGTCATGGCACCTGAAGGTATCACGTAGAGACTGATGTCGATTGGTCGACCCCCAATGGACGTGGTAACGGTTACTTGCGAATCACACCTAGAGGTGCCGCAGACGCCTTTAATCTGGAATGGCGCATCGAGTTCCGTAACCGTAGACTGGCTCTGGGCATCCATGCGCTTGAGCAGCGCGTCCGGGAAGATGTTGATCTCGGCTCCCGTGTCAACCATGAACGGTACGAGTCTTCCCGCAACCGGTAGCTGGACATGACGGCAATTTAACCTATTCACTCCCTGAACAGCGGACAGAGAGCACTCCTCCGTTACAGCCTTTCCCGCTCCTGTGGGTGGTTCTTGGGCCATCACCTGGTCTGGATAGTTGGCACGCCCTTCAACTGGCGGGCTCGGGTGACTCCGCTTCCTATCCCGTCGCTGCTTGGCGTGGTCGTAGTACCTCGTTTCCTTTTCGTACTTCTCGTTGTACATATTAGCCAATGTCTGCAGCAGCTGGCGATTGTTGCGGATGTCCTCGATGTTAAGCTTGAACGAACCACCGGGTTCTCGACGTAGGTAGGCGTGACGCTCACCCAAAGGTCCTTTCCTGGTGATTTGCCAACAGTCTTGCGGCAGGTGGCCAGGCCTTTGGCAGTTGGAGCAGATGGGCTTGTTGAGACACTTGAAGCTCACGTGTTCAGGGGACTGGCACCACTTGCACAGTTTACCCGTGCCCACTTCTGCAGCCGGCATCGCCCAAGGGCTCGAGTCTTGCACTGACCCCAGCACAGGATCCCGGTCATGCCGAAGTTGTTCAGCCCTCTCAATGGCCTTGATCCTCTCTATAACCTCAGACAAGGTGCACTTCCGATAACTTACATCACTACGGATCTTTATCTCTATCTCTTGGTCGACTTTCCGCAACAAGCAGTAGGAGTAGTCCAGCGACTGATATCTGGATGTTTGTTTCCAGCGACGACACAACGCCCTGAACCTAGCCTTCAGGAGCAGAAAGTCTTCGATGACCTTGATTGAATCTACTCCCCGGTCCTGCGTTTGTAGTTGTTGACACACCACATTGATCTCGTCACTGAAGGGGAACAGCGTGGTAGCATATGCATCTACGAATTCTTGGTAGGACAAGAGCATTAGCTTCTTCCGGGCAATCCTATCTTGATTGTTGGGGGTTGACTTGAGGATGATGACCTCCTTGAGTTCCGATGGTAGGTAAAGCATTGATGACGCAACCCGCTTCCACTTCGTCAGAGTCTCATCAAATTCTTTCTCTGACTGCGGGTTAAACTCCACGGTGCCGCCGATGTCCTTGATTAGGTGGCGCACTCTCTTCTTATCGGTAGATGACGAATATGATGCTGTGAATGTATCCTCACCTTCAGAGAAGACCTCTTCGGCTTCGGAGTCAGTATCGCCGGCGGGTAAGAAGAACTCTGACGCCTTCACCGGCGATGGATGGTCGACGAGCTTCGCATGGCCACGACTACCCAGGTTGTCCACCATGATTTGTAAGTGGGACTCGTGGCTGCTCGGCGAGGGGCTCGTGGGTGGTGACATCGTGAAGATAAAGCGTGGATACGATCTCTCGTTTTTATTAAAAAGCGTTCGTTCGTTCTGTGTGCGGACCACCGTATTGTCTGGCGACGTCGTCCGTGCGGGAACACAGGGCGGCGTTCATACGACACAAGTGAACGATATGGTCAAGACATACAAATGCTATAAAATTTGCCAGTAATACTCTCTGAAGTGGTCTTTGACCTGTTGCCAACATGTCACATCGCAATATAGCCTTTCCTTTCGAACAGTACTTTGCCAAGTCAGTCAGTCTGGTTGGTGAGGTAATCTTCAACCAAACCCCAGCGAATGATCGTGCCGGATGGAGTGACACTCATTTCTATTACAGACCTGAATCCAACTCAGGGGCCGAGACATAACAATGTGCGAATCCGTCTGTGCGTTTTTTAATTTGCACTGGTTGTATAATGAAGGGGACTACCGCTGTACGCTTGGTCAATGAGAAGGGGTGGGCGGCGCTGGGAGCGTTCGTCAGCCCCAACGGGAAGTTGTCTTCTACTGATGGCTGTATTGCGAGGATGGCCGTCGTCTCTGACGGGAAGGGCGCAGCTGAAGTTGTGGTGTTGGCCCCTCCGTCAGAGTTGCTGGAGTCCTGCCTTGCTGATTACGACTGGCTTAGTCGTTGGAACCGGCTCCGCGTCTACCACCCGCCCGGGGAATCCAAACAGCAAGCGAAGGCCTCTGCTCGCATCGAGCGCTTGCTTGCCCGGGCCATGAAGAACCATCTGCACGACGAGGATCCATCAGCCGCCAGTGCGGCCTTGAAGAAAGCATTCGGCAGGAAGCTGATGGAATGGCTGGAGACTGAGAATGCCGGAGACACCGAGGTTGACGGGAGCGGAAGGTTGGAGATCACTGACGTGAGGCCGCTAGATGCAGATGAACAAGAACAAGTCCGGGATCAAGTTCCAGCGAAGTGGCTTCCGAAAATTGAGGATTCGATGTCTTTCGTGAATTGTATTGAGATCGAGGGCCAGGCCGTTCGCGAAAGAAGCGAAGGCTTCTGGCGACGCCCTGGGTTGTTCAAACGTCTTGGTATTGTGGGTATTGCGACTGCAAGTGGCCTGGTGATTACTGGGTTCCTACTATACCGTTTTGGTCCTCGGTATGGCGGTCGGTCTTCCGACACCACGGCGTACAACTCCTCTTCGTCCGACACCACGGCCTCTTCATCCACTGTGGGGGCCTACGAACTTGCTCCTACTGCATCTGGCACTGCGATCCCAGGCATCACGACCTCCAGCTCTACCTTATCCACGACGCGATTCCCATCCACAGCGGGCAGAAACATGTGTGAGGGTACCACCTTTGGCCTGACCGAGCCCGAGAAGTATCAGCGAGCACTGGCTTGTGATTGTCTTGCTGTGTCGGAGTCCAGCTTGTTCACGAACTGCCATCCGAATCCCGAAAAGCGCCCCGAGCCAAGCGTCGATGTTATCGCGTCACTACTCTCGGGGTACGAATTGGCGACACTGCGAGTACCTTCCGGCACTTGCAAGGAAACGCTTCACAGGAGCAAGACCCAAACGGTGGTGAGAGCGGAGGTGGGCGGCTGGAGAATGTTGGATTGGTCCGAGTTGTCCGAAGGCGGGCAGATAGTTTGCACTGACGAGAATGGCCTAAACCTAAATTGTCATTACTTCGGCGCTCCGTCCAAGTTCGACTTTCCTACTGTCTGGGATGCCATCAACCTCTACGTCAAGCCCTACCAGTGTCTGGCTGCAAGCAACCCCAAGAGTCAAAAGCACGAGGTCGAATACTACGGGGGGCGCGCAAGGGGGGTCGCGAGGTACGTAGGTGGTGACTTATACGGACTGAGTGACGACCACCTTGAACAACTAGGCTTGAAAGTCGTTCAGTTGAACCCGCTGTCTAGTGTGCAGTGGGAGGGTACAGAGGTGTATCCCAAGAGCGACTGTAATACTGATGGTCCGACTTGTCGGACAAATATATCGGAGCATTGCCAATGCGAAATGATAGAAATGTACGCCCATGCCATCACTCCCTCCGGCAAGACCATTCACTGGGGTTCAACTAAAGACTACTTCACCAACCAGACGGACTTGGCTAAGTACTATACTTTATTCCAAAGGAAAGGCTACAAGCCGGTTTACTGCCACGTGAAATGCTGGAGAGACCCTCAACCCGCACTACACCGTGAACATTCCAAGAACTTCTTCAGAAACGACTTGGGGCAGCAAATTTTATAGCATTTTAATGTCTTACCTACTGACTTCTCCGAGCCTTTTTTTGCACACGTGTGTGCATGCGCAGGTGGTCGGGTGATTGTATAGACGGCTAAGTAAAAAGCGGCGGCGGTATAGCGTTTGTGTTTGCTAGTCGTCCAGGCATGTTCGTAAGCGACGCAGCACATACTCGGCCGCCACTCTGTTCAGGCCTTCAAACCTCAATTAGAGCCTAGCCGTTCGTGATCGGCGCGTTCGGAATGCTATTACCAGAACACTACTTGGGAGTACGATTTACAGTGGTGGTGAACAATCCAAACCAACTAGCACAACCACCAAGAAGAACTGACCCGCCACCAAGAGGAACTGACCCGCCACCAAGAAGAACTGACCCGCCACCAAGAAGAACTGACCCGCCGCCAGACCCCGGCTACGCTTGTTCGTTCGAAAAATCCAACTCTGGCCGTACTACACTCAGGTAAATTCCCTCTTGCCGGTGGTCGCACTGATACCCGTATTAACGATTGGGCTGGTACTCGGAGTGGTGGACGCAGTAGTACTCCTGCCGGAGGTACTCATGCTGGAAGAACTCTTGACAGTGTCGTTGACGTCTGCGACCTTGCGAGCTATTCCGATCTCTGCGACGTGTACATTTGTGGTTGTGGTTTCTCCCGTGGTTGTCTTTCTCGCCGTTGTGGTCTCTCCCGTTGTTGTGGTCTCTCCCGTTGTTGTGGTTTCTCCCGTGGTTGTGGTCTCTCCCGTTGTTGTCTTTCTCGTGGTTGTCTTTCTCGCCGTTGTGGTCTCCTCCGGGGTTGTGGTCTCTCCCGGGGTTGTGGTCTCTCCCGTTGTTGTGGTCTCTCCCGTTGTTGTGGTCTCTCCCGTTGTTGTCTTTCTCGTCGTTGTGGTCTCCTCCGGGGTTGTGGTCTCTCCCGTTGTTGTGGTTTCTCCCGTGGTTGTGGTCTCCTCCGGGGTTGTGGTCTCTCCCGGGGTTGTGGTCTCTCCCGTGGTTGTGGTCTCTCCCGTTGTTGTCTTTCTCGTGGTTGTCTTTCTCGCCGTTGTGGTCTCTTCCGGGGCTGGCTTAAAGTTGTAACACTCGTGTACGCAGTTGCTGACTTCGTATGAATCTCCTTCGGGGTAGTCGGCGAAGGAGGAGGACACTCGAGTCAGGGGAGTCTTGAAGTCGGTAAGGACAGTCCTGAGGGTGGCCCCCAGGTACTTGTCGAGGACGTCGCAGCTGACATTGGCGACGTCGCAGATGCAGTTGGTGAGGTTGCCGAGTTCTCGCCAGGACGCGGTGGAGCCTGAGCAGTTGGGGTCGAGAGGTAGTCCTGCAAGTAGTTCATCTTCTCGCGACTTGGTCCGATTCTCAAAATGCGTCGAGAGAAGGCGTGACATGTTGAGGCCTTGGTCGGGGAAGTGTTTGAGAAGGTTTGTGGCGAACGCGCGTCTTGTGTCTGCCGGTGAGTGGCAGAGAACGGCACAGTACCCGGGGGGGTGTTTAAACTTTCGGGTCTTGTTCACGACCCGTGGGAATGTGACGGTCAAGGGACTACCGAAATCTCGGCAGTATGAGACCTGGGGCAGTTTGCCGCATATGACGGTGCCACTGCCGCAGGGTTGCTGCTCTCCAAAACTTGGACTCCAGCGGAACAGTTCCCTGTTCCGTGGGTCTTCAAACGAAGGGCATACGGCCATGCGCCGCATTGTCGTTTTTGTTGCGTGTCGCAAAGCATAGACGCCTCCGAAAAAGATCAAGGCGGCCATTACGCTCCCGATCGCTATGGTCTTAGAACAGAATGCCGGACGGGTCGACTGTGTTGGCCGCCCAGCCTCGACGTCTTCGCCAGAGGTGTTACAGCGCACAGTCTTGACCGCGGACCTCTGCAGCACTGGTCTCCATTCCTTCGGCACTATCTCTAAGAGCTCCTGCAACTCAGACACGTTTACTGGCCGCGTCAGACCAATCGACACGTCGTCTCCGTTGTCCAGACGCTGCATCTCGTACCCCCGGTCGTCCACGGCTACCTCGCCCTTGAGGATGCGATACAGCTCGTTCACGCTTTCGCCAAACACGATCATGCACAGTGCATCCATCGCACAGGCCGCCATGGGGTTATCCAGCGGTACGCTGCGTGTCAGACGGCGCCGCAGGGCAGCCAGCAGCCCCGCCTCGGCCCGTTTGTCGCTCGGAGGCCCACTCTTCGGCCGCAACACCATCATCCGGTCCCAGCGCTCGAACCAGTCGTAGTTATCGCCCTCCAGCACCGCCGTCTCAACCGTTAATGGCGTCCGCTCGCCGATAGTCTGCAACTCCACCTCAAACGCCGTCTTGGGCGCCAACACCAAAGTCGTCACATCACCACTACCCACGCGCATCGCAACCACCTGCGCCACACTCTCCTCCAGCTCCGGCCGGCTGGTGTCCGGACGCATCAACACCGACAACAACTCACTCCCACCCACTCCATTCACCTCACTCTTGAACGTACGCATTTTCAACTAAGCCCGAAAGGGAGGAAAAAAATTCCGAAGAAATTCGCAGACACATTACACACAGCCAAAAGGCCACCAGATTTGGACGTCCCGATTTGAAATGAACACCCACGCGGTCCCCACCCACGACCACCAAAGTCAAATCGAACGAGCGATCGCGACGCATCCACCACGGTCAAAATACCATCTTTCCTGGCGTTCTCCGTCAGGGGAACTGCTTCATGATACCCGTGGTTGCCGACCTAAGTTGCACTCGGTAGTGGACTCATGACTGCAGTTGTAACCCTGCTCCGGGTAGTCTTCTTCCCTGGCGCTATCCAGCGGAAGCACCGATAAGCACAGCCGTTGACGTTGTAGCCGAAGTCGCGGTATTCTTCGAAAGCATTGGACACCTCGGACGTGGCGGTGTTCAAGTCGGTGAGCGTGACATTATGTCTTGCTTTGTGACTTGTGGTCATGACCTCGCAGGTGACGTCGGCCATGTCGCAGCGGCAGTATGGTCGGCTACTGACCTCCTCCCACGAGGAGGCGGAGCCTGAGCAGTTGGTGTGGAGATAGAGCCCATTGAGGATCTCTTGTGCGCCCTGTTCACTGCGAGCATACTCTGAGTCGTTTATGTGTGAAGGGAAGACTGCGAGGAGTCGTGAGGCGATAGAGATGCTTGTTTCTTCGGGGCTGTTGCATCGGACGGAGCATCGGTCGAAAGGTAACTTTTTGGTATCCTGCCACACGCGAGGGAAGGGAACGGCCCAGGGGCTACCGAATTCTCTGCATCGTGTGGGGAGGGACCTATGGCGGCAGACAAGGACACCGTCGCCGCAAGTCACTTGCGGCGTGCGGCCTCCCTTCGTCCAGAAGAGCGCCGTACGCGGGTCACCGGCAGCGGGGCACGCCGAACTCAAACGCGGCGGCGGCGGCGGCTGCGGGCCACGGAACAACCGAAGGAACATCACGCCAGTGATGGTACACGCCACGACGCCTCCCATCACCATGAACTGCCAATCGGGCCGACGGAAGCACGAGCGCGGCCTTGCTGCCTCCAGGTCCCGGTCGGGCAGGTTCGTGGCCAGCAGGCCCGCGTCGGGCAGGCCCACGTCGGGCAGGTCCGCGTCGGGCAGGTCCGCGTCGGGTAGGCCCACGTCGGGCAGACCCACGTCGGGCAGGTCCGTAGCGGGCAGGTCCGTAGCGGGGAGATTGTTACCAGGAATTTCCTCCAGCACGGCCGACCTTTCCAGCACGGGCATCCAGGCCGCCGGCACCATCGGCAAGAGCTCCTGCAGTTCCCGAGAGTTCACCGGTCGTGTGAGAAACACCGCGACGTCGTCCGGGTCTCCCAGGTGCTCTGTTTCCCCCGGTATTTCGTACCCCGCCTCGCCCAGGGTTACCTCGGTTTTGACGCCGTCGTTCAGGGCGGCCGCCATGGCAGAGAGCGTGGCGATCAAGCGGCTGCCGAAGACCTCAGTGCACAACTCATCTACTGCCATCGCCGACTTCGAGTCGCCCCACGTTCCGCGCCGCGCCATCCGGCGACGCAACGTGGCCAACAGCGCTGCCTCTGCTCGCTTGTTAACAGGCGGTCCCCCCTTAGGCCACCATACCATCAAACGGTGCCAGTAGCCGAACCAGTTGTAATCAGCACCTTCCACCACCACCGTCTCCAACAACGTCTCCTCGCCATCCAACTCAATCTCAAACGCACTCTTAGGCGCCAAAACCAGCGCCTTCACATCGCCACCACCAACACGTAATGTCACCACACGTGCAACACAATCATCCAATTCAGCACGACTCCCATCCGGACACATCAACACCAACAATAACTCACTCCCCGCCACACCACTCACTCCACTTTTCAACGCCCTCATTTTCCACGAACCAAAGCAAAAAATATTGACCCCACCTCTGAAGCTCGCCTTTGGACCCCACCTCTGAAGCCCGTCTTTGGACCCCACCTCTGAACCCCGCCTTTGGACCCCACCTCTGAGCCCCGCCTTTGGACCCCACCTTTGGACCCCGCCTCTGAACCCTTTCTCTGGACCACAAGGCCCATGTAGTCCTATAGGGTCAGCCTCCAGCAGCCCCTTTGTTGGAGTACGTCGACTCTACGCGGACACGGATCCAACCGTCCCGCAACGTTGCCCATGAGGGGGAACGTGGCCGTTATGTCTCTGACAGTGAGCCGTCAGAGTGTGCGACCGGGACCCGTCGGCCGCCATCACCGTATGGCATGAACCCTCTACACCCCGTTCAGTTACAACCAGCTCACTCAGGAGATGGGTTGGGGTGAGTGGAGTCAAGTCGGTGAGTGAAGTCAAGTCTGGTGTTTGTTGCCGCGCAGCGAGTTTTTCAGGGGCTGACTGGCCCAAGTGCGTCGGATTTGGGTTGATTCCACTGAATAATTGGTCGGCGTGGAAGGTTGAGTGCGTCTTAGGGTGTGCATGCGTGTGCGTGGATATACTGGGTGCGCTGTAGCCGGACTGGTGGTATGACCGGAGGTGGTTCAGGGACGGCCTTGACAACGAAGCGACTCGGTCTGGGAAATCTAGCGGTGTCTTGACCTCTCGGTGTCTTGACCTCTCGGTGTCTTGACCTCTCGGTGTCTTGACCTCTCGGTGTCTTGACCTCTCGGTGTCTTGACCTCTCGGTGTCTTGACTCCCACACAAAAAAGACGCCGTCATCCTTCAAGGCATCCGGACCAGTCATCTCCAGTCAGTCCCGCGCCCTCTTTCCAAAGCAAAGGCAAGGTCGCGGACAGTGCGTGAACTAGTATTCCTTTTACCAAAAAGAATCTCCGTCTGACTGCCTCTCCCGGCACATCGTCGTTGCCCACGCGCGTCGTAGCCCACAATCAGCAAGTTACGCCTCGAAGTCCGAAACGATGGGACTAAGTTTTTGCACAACTAAGACTGCCGCCCGGCTTCGCAGGTTACGCCAAAACGATCAATGATCGGCCGCAGGTGGCCACACCGGTGGTATTCGTGCTGGTGGTAGGACTGGTACTCATACTGGTGGTAGACTTGTACTCGTATTGGTGGGACTGGTACTGGTGGTAGGACTGGCGCTGGCACTCGTGCTCGTGAACGCACTGGCGGCTATACTGGTACTTGCACCGGTGGTAGGATTGGTCGTGGCTGCCGTGGTACTCGTACTGGCAGCACTGGTACTCGTACTGGTGGTAGGGCCTGCGTCTGAGGTTCCACTCAAGTTGAAGCACTCGTATTCACAGTCGTCGACGTCGTAGCCACGTTGCTGGTAATTGTCAAAGGAGTCCGACACCGTCACGAGGGGCACTTCCAGATCGGTAAGGGCGACTTTCATCACTGCGCCGTTGCGTTTAAACTTTACCGAACATGTGACGTTGGCTAAGTCGCAGTAGCAGTTCTCAACGTCGTCGAGTTCTGCCTGAAGGCCAGAACAGTGGTTGTTGAGAGTGAGTGCGGTCGCCGGTTCTAGGTAGGGGAAATGAGTTCTGAGTCGTTGGCCGAACAAGCGGTTTACTTCTTCGGGTGTGTGGCAGAACACAGTGCACATTCCTTCGAACGCGCGCATTCCGAGCAGATCGATAACTCGGGGAAACGGGTCCCGCCAGGGGCTACCAAAGAAGGCCCTGCATTGCGTGTTGCCGAGCTTGTCGTCACAGACAATCATGCCACTTGCGCAGGGTTTGTTCACCCTAGAAACTCCTGGCTGCCGGAAGGAGCCTATGTTTCTGCGGCCGTTGGTTCCTTCGTCGTCCATCCTCTGAGAGCAAACATCCATGGTACGACCACCCGCGGTAGTCGCTTCCCAACCACCCGCGGTAGTCTCTCCCCAACCACCCGCGGTAGTCTCTCCCCAACCATCCGCGGTAGTCGCTTTCCCAGATTTACTTGCTTTATACCCCTCCCAGCCAAGCCACAGAGCCCCCGTCGCCGCCAAGCCGCATCCGACGAAGATGCACATGTTGCGCAAACCTCTCCTTCCGTAAAGGTATGCGGCTAGCGATGGTGGTTGTTTCGTCTTCGACCGCCCCTTCTCCCGCGTCTTCTTTTCCGGATGCCCCGATTCCGGATGCCCCGATTCCGGATGTCCCGATTCCGGATGTCCCGATTCCGGATCCTCGTGCTCCTTGCCCGAGGACACTGGCTCCCTTACCGCCGACATTTCCAGCACTGACATCCATTCTATCGGTACTTGTGTAGACAGTTCCTTCAACTCTGACACGTCGACGGGCCGAGTTACGACCACCGAGATGTCATCGACGCCGTCAAAAGGCTGCACCTGGTATCCCATATTGCCCAGGACGACCTTGCCCGCATCGTCGAGGATACAATACAGATCGTCAAGGCTGTCGTCAAAGACCTCGTCACACAGTGCGTCCAACGCCTCCGCCGCCACTTGGTCATCCAGCGCCCCCTTCCGCGCCGCACGGCGCCGCAGCGCTGCGAGGAGCGCCGCCTCGGCGTATTTGTTGCTCGACCGCCCTCGTGTAGGCCGCCATACCGTCATCCGATCCCAGTGCTCATACCAATCCGCCGCCGGCGTCTGTAACGGCGCCGGCGTCTGTAACGGCGTCGTCTCATTCACAACCTCCGACTCCATGTAAAACGCCGTCTTGGGCGCCAACACTACAGCCGCCACATTGCCGCTACCCGTCCGTATCGTAACTATCTGTGCCACACAATCGCGAATCTCCCTTCGGCTCCCATCTCCACTCATCAACACTGACAACCATTCGATTCCACGCACACAGCTCGCTCCACTCTTCAACGTGCGCATTTTCAACAAACTAATTACCCCCTAAAATCACGCACCGCACACACTTTTGTAACACCTCTCTGTGGCTCACGGGGGGGGGGGG